GGAGAGAGAGAAAGAGGGAGAGAGAGAAAAGAAAGATAGAAGGGAAAGAAAGATAGAAGGGAAAGAAAGATAGAAGGGAAAGAAAGACAGAAGGGAAAGAAAGACAGAAGGGAAAGAAAGACAGAAGGGAAAGAAAGACAGAAGGGAAAGAAAGATCCCAACCCAAAATGTGTTAGAGCTTTGTTTTCTGAGTAACAAGACTAATCATGTTTCCTCTATTTGGGGTCTCTCTCTTCTCTTCCTTTTCTTCTAGGTCCTCTGGATCCACACTGACATAGAAATATCCCATGATGGAGAAAATAATGCACACAGCAAAGAGTAGAACAGTGAACAAGACAAATTCAGCCCACTAGGAAAGAGAAAAAGAAATAAAACAGCAAGTCAGGGAACACCAGTCTCCCAGTCCAGAGGATTTTCTCTGCATGTCCAAGTATTTTTCAAAGTGCTGGGTGAAAGCTTTCCAGCATGAAAGGTTTCTCACAAGGTAGAAACTTTCTCATCCAGTTTTCTGGTGAATTGTGTATATGTATTGTAGTTATGTAAATGTGAATATGTGTGATGTACCTCAAAACAGGTCAGTTACCATGGGCTAGTTTCACTAAACCTCTTCTTACAAATCTGCCCTGACTGGCACATACCTGCCTGGGCTTTTTGCCCACAAGATGCCTTTGAGACAGGCAGTTTGCTGTGAGCCAGAAACAAGCCCTGGTTCACACCTTCACATCATCACCCCAAAAGCTTGGCAGCTTGGAAGAAACAACCTCTGCACCACAGCCTCCCCATGCAGAGCCCAGTGTTGCAGGGGTGCAATAGGCAGCCGGCCCTGACAGAATCAGGCAAGCTGCTTTTGGTACGCAGCAGCAACACATGGCTGGCATTGCATCCAGGCTCCAGGTCCAAATAAAGTCTGCTTGCCTAAAGCTGAGTTCCAGCACTATTAGCACAGCACAGGACACAGTATTACTTACTGCCATTGAAAGGCACAGGAAAGACCATTGCTCCAGAGGGCAATGCTGAGGGCTACACAGAACACTGGCTGGGAGACAGATGGGGCATGTTGGAGCCTGGGGCTGGGTAGAGAAACTCTGCCTCCAGGGCAGAGACATCCAGAAATACCATCCAGGGCCTGTTCTAAAGCATTAGCTCTGTTCTATAAGCAGAACCATACCTGCGCCATAGGTGCAGCCTGGGCAACAACAAGCACAAGGGTATTCCCAACAGCCACTGTCAGCAGCCAGCCTGCTTGCAGCACTGACTTCATGCTGGCTGGAGACTGAAAAGGGAAGAAGAGTCTGGTCAGTGGCTGTCATGCTGTGCCCACATCCCTCTACCTAGCCTAGGAGGAAATGGTGGAATTTTTTATGTGTCTCCTTTGCAACTAAGTCCTAGAGCTACATACAAGTCTTTAGTTGGTTTCAAAACAAGTCATTCTAGAGGACACATGAAGAAGGAAGTAATGGTTGCTGTTGCAGATCTGCATTCTGATCACCCCCAACCCAGATCACCTAAGACTGTAAGATCAGGAAGACTAGAGACCCACGCAAAAGGCTCTGAAGCTTGAAGCCTGCTGCCATGCGTCTGCACATCTTTGGAAAATACTGGATCTTGATGTTAAGCTTCCTGCCAATCTCAAATCATCCACATCTCACAACAGATTGTCCCATGAATTAATGCCTCACATTAATAAATATCTGCAGTTTACTCCAAAGATAAATTTGAGTAGCTTCAGCTTTTTGATCTTGCAATATCTCAGTCCTCTCCACTCACAAACCTTTTCCCCAGACAACCTAGTGTACCACAATCAAATTCTCATAAACACTTAGACCCCTTCAGTCTCTCAGTTTAAAGCAGGTTTCAAGCCTCATGCAACCTTGGCAGATGTGGGAACAAATCCTGAAGTCTAATTGTAAGCCCCTTATCTTTAAGTGGAGTACCTGAGAATAGGAGAAGGCCAGACCCGTAATGGAGAACATCACTTCTCCAGCAGATATTAATAAGTACTGTGGTAATTGCCAAGCCATATGGACATTGTTGGCTTTGATGTCTTCTGACTTCCATGTCTGAACTGCACCTCCAGACACCTAGCAGGAAAATAAAGGAACATCGATTAGCTGCTGAAAGATCAGATCCTTCCTAGGTTGGACTAGAACAGGCAATTAAGATGAAGCTTAAAGCAAAGACAGAAGCAAAGCTCTGACCTGGAAGTGAAACTGTGGGTCTGATCTCTGCCACATCCAAGCCTGCTGAGAGTAGGCTGATTCCTACTGCACAACATGGAAATATTCCAGCTATCTATTGTGCCACAAGATCTTCAAGATTTATTGCAAAATGGCAAGCTGACTTCTTCATTGGGATTAGGAAAAGTCTGTGTGGTACTTTTACAGAGTCTGTCACCTGCTGCTGACACCAGAGCCAGAATGGGCAAGAGGACAAATGCTCACTCCCTCCACACGACCACTATTTGCATTTCGTCAGTGCTGTATAACTCCCCAGCTATAGCATCAACACCCAAACATAACCAGTTCAGGAATTCTAAGACTAGCAGAAACTTCCCATACCAGGTATACTGAGACAGTTACAGTATCTGTATTTCTAATTCCTTTTGTTTGCTTTTCTAGGTGTAATTAATACTGCCTCTGATGTGCAGAGAAGCAGAGAGAGATTTGAGTAGCAGCCAGGCAATCATTAGGCTAAAATGCCTTCAGGCAGGAAACCTAGTGTTTAAGGAGAGTACATGGGAAAATACAAGGGATGTTTATGAGATGTACTTAATCACCATGCAGGGAGGCAAATCAAGAAAGTGTAATTTAGAAGGCTAAAAGGGGTGAGAGGAGAGCTGCACACTGCTCTTTTGCCCAAAGGAAATGTCACAAGTACTATACTACAACTGCACACTGAAGAAGGCTGGAAAGGCAGTATTTCCATGATTTAAGTATTACAGTTCAGCTATATTAACAGCCTAATATATTGCTTTCTTGGTTCTTCTATACAGCACTCTCAGCTGAGTAGGAGGGCATGGTACAAATCACTGCAATAATTAAAAATTATCTTGGCCTGGAGCAAACTAACTCTCTGCAGAAGGATGAAAGCACAGGGGAAGAGATGGAAAAACAGAGGGTCAGAAAGATTAAAGGACTGCACAGGGCCATAGGGTCTGAGGCACAGAGCCACCCCTAAGCATCCATGGAGGCAGCAAGGGCTTTGAGATGGGACCACAAAACGGGGTCCTTGCCCACACCCGTTTGGAATGCATCTACCTCACTGGCCTTCACTCAGCTACGTTACTCGAGGCTCGGATGACAATATTCTTAGGCTCATATTCTCTATGCAACTACTCTACTCAGCTTCTCATCCAGGGAAAGAGGTGTGAAGCCATGGAAGTAGGGACTGGCCAGCATCGCTTCAAGCGTGCATGTGTTTTGTGTACATAAATCTCCACACTCAAAGATGGCAGCATCTGCCTGTTCTCTCCAGGACCATGCATCCCATTCCAGCTACAGGAGGAAAAATGTTAAAATAAAAAGCCAAAACAACAGGTGTTTTACAGCTATGCTTTTCCCCTCTACATATTTGGATTCCACAGACATGAACAGCTCCCATTAGTTGCCCAACAGGGAGATATTCCTGCCAGGGAATAGCTGACAGCACTTTGCTCTGCTCATCACAACACAGCAGTCAAAGCCCCAAGGGGCAGCTCAGCAGCATGTCCTGTCAGACCTGGTTTGTAAGCTTGCCCGTGCAGTGGAAAGGTTAAAATGGGTACTAAGATGGTTACATTGATCTCCATGGCTCCTGCCAGCTGGACCAGAGTCAGAGCAGTGTCTCTAAGAAGCTGGCAGGCAGGCAAAGGATTCCACACTCTTTGGTTCACACCTCTGGGTTGTTTGGAAAAGCATGCCTTGACTTTACACTAGTCTCCAAATGAGCTGTACACAGAGTGAGAGGAGGAAAAGGAGATGCATAACCTCATCCACCTCTCTCAACACTTCGCTCCTCTTCTTCCTGTGCAAAATCCACATGCCTTGAAAGATCAACCTTCAGGTCAGTAAGTAAAACATGAGGGTGTAGCAGACTGTTTTTGCAGAGTTTCTCAGTTGTGAGATATTACCATGTACTGTAGTTTTAGAGGTTACAGGCAGCATTAGCTCTTGGCAATGTGCTGGGTCAATGCTAACCAAAAAAGAATAGTGTGAAACCAGCACGAATTGCAGGTCACTTGATTTTCTAAGGAGGATTTCCATCAAGCAAAAGACATTGCTTCTTGTTTAACTGGTAAGACTTGACAAAATCACAATGTAAGTTGGAATGACCACCCACCCGCTTTGTTTTTATAGTTGCCAGACCCTTTTGTTGGATGGCCTTCAAATGGTTATTGCCTCAGTCTCACAAAGTGAAGAAAGCAAGAGAGTCACCAACGTACGAGGAAAAACACTGCCAGAGACTAGAGCAGAATGAGCTTGTTACCAACACAGGATCACTTACATTAGTTATCACAACAGTGTACGATGCACCAAAGTCAATCAGCCCTAGGTCCAGGGTGAATTCCCCAGTTTCAGTTATGCATTTTCCATTATCATATCTAGATACAAGGATGAAGTACAGCATTTTCTGGTTAGTCTCAGACAAAGAGCACAGAGAAGAGCTATCAAAAATGCCCCTACAATGGACAGAAGGGGGTGTATAATGTAAAGCTACAGTCAGGTTTATGTCAGAGGATCACTAGAGTTCTTGCCATCTCTTCCTTCCAGAAACACTTAGGCACTGACTAGAGTTCACCCAATGACCCAGGTTATTGCTAATGTTTTGAAATGCTGATTCTTCCAAGCAATCTCAAAAATTTCCAGCAAAAAGAGAACTTCTCTCTCTCTCTTTTTTTTTTTTTCCCCAGCCTTATTTTTCTTCCAAAATTTTAATCACTCCTTTTAGGAACTGTGGGCCAGGCAAGTTAGCCAGGCTCAGTGAGCCTTCAGGATATCAGAGGATATGGCTCCCACAAGCCATAGTGTTTCCGTTCAACAGAGCAAATTAGCCTTTTTTATTTGTTCTTATGATTCTGGATGTCCAAGATGGCACAAAGGATCAGCAGCATTGCCACAGTGGTTGATGCATCCATCTAAACTGCAGCAGTAAGTCCGTTGGATGGAGCTTCTGCAGAGAAAAGCCATGAGGCTTTTGAAACATTGCAGAGGCCAGAAATGTTTTACATGAGCCAAGTCTAGTGCTGCCAAACCAATGCCATATGGAGCCCCTGTCTATCTGCCCAGCCTACAAGACCATGGGATGTTACTAGATGTTACCAGCTCACATGATGTCATCAGCTCACATACCAACACTTTGTCATGTGGAATATGAATTGCTACTTCTCTGAGAGCATCCTAACACTAAGAGCTTGGGCCTCAGAGAATATCAAAATAAAGCAGGTGCCACATGGCAGACAGGCTTTTCCATCTTCGACTTTATTCTGCTGACAGATGCACAGATGGTCTCTCAATAACTTCTCATAATTCATCCCTCCAGCTCCACACACAGTGTAACTGCTCAGAGGAAGTTAAGTTCTGTACATGGTCTTCAAAAAGATTTTGGGCTCCTGATATTCTATTTACCTAGCTCGAAGAAAACTCAAATCATTACCTCAATTAGAATGTCATTACACTCATGTCATAGGAATAATGCTTCCAAGCAATAACGTTTCCCTGATTACGTTATCTTACCAAAGCAACAACTGCTTTGGGAAGGGAGCTATTCCAGACACAGTTAAGAACTTGAATCTATTCAGCAACATATTACACACAGAGAAACTGACCCACTATCCTTCAGCTTGGATGCTTTGCAAAATAAATGCATGGTTCTTCTGTACACACACAAGTGGCCTAGAGTAACTGCTCTGCACAGAGCTGATTATTCTGCTTTTTTTTTTTTTTTTAACAAACATCTGCCACACAATCAAATGCCAAGAGCACAGCAATTAAGTTTCTGCTATTTGCATGAAAAAGAAAAAAAAAAAAAAGGCCCGTGGTGCTCAAGGAAGGGCTTCAGTAAGGACCTTCAGCACAGCAAGGGAAACTTACGTGTCCCTCTCTACCAGTGAGTACCCAGAAACACCATAGTTTCTCTGAACAGATATGAACGGTTTGCTGTCAATGGTGAGGTTGACATCTTGGCTCAAACCATTAATAAATCTGCAAAGAAAGCATATTATTAGGCTGTCAGACAGGGCAGGAAAAGTGTAATATGAATCACTTAAAAGAAGTGCACTCTCTCCCAAAGCATTCTGTGACTCCATAAGGTTATGCCAGTTTCTCCTGCAAGCTACCAAAGTATCAGCCTGACTCAATGCCTAGGTTTTCAATAGAAGACTAGTTTTCCTATTGCTATGTAATTTTACTCTCTTATGGTCTCTCCTGTGCAGAGAGACCTCTTATTTGTGTGCGTGAGAATGAACTTACCAGCAATCTCTTCTCAGACACATTCGTAGATTCTTTCATATCTGTTCAAGAGGACAGATCCCCACCCCCAGGAAACTATACAGGTGTGTATCCTGATGAGTGTGTGCACTGTGCTGCCATACTTTCCAAGGAGTTTCCAATTGCAAGAAAGAGTTTTCTAGCAAGATATTTCAAGATATTTTCATTATAAACAAACTTCCATGGGAAAGCAGAGGTTTGGGTCTGTTAGTGAAACCAAACACTTTTCATATGATTTATGATTTTAAGAATTTTGGTTTTCAGTTGTTAACATAGAAGGGAGCCCTAAAGATAGTCATGTGCTTAACAAAAGTAACTTTAGTGGAAAAAAAGAACATTCTCCTAGTTAAACCTCCTCAGAAATTTTTTAAAGGAAAGGTTTGAGATTCTGTCAAAAAATGCTGACAGAAAAATGAAAGAGTTTCTGACAGGAGGTATTAATCAAGTCTCCTAGGTGGTGTTCAGTCAGCAGAAAACTTCACAGACACAGAGCTATGAAGATATTGCTCTCATTTTATCTGATTAGTTTGCATTTGTACAGGAGGTTGGACAAGATAAGTGATCATCACGGGTTGCAGAGGACAAATGGCAACAGCTCCTTTCCAGATTGAGCCTTCCCTTCCTTTTCCAAAATGGCAAACCATGGTGAGATCACCCTTCCCAAGGAGATCTTTTATGCTGCCATCTCAGCCCAGACAATCCTAGGCAGTAGATGGCAATACAGTCCAGTTCTGCACAGCAGGAGTGGGAGGTGAGCATCTGCAGCTGAGACCTGGATCTTTTCTTGCAGGATGAGCATGGGCTAGATTCTAACCCAAGAACATCTGGGCTACATTACTTACAGTTTGAATTAGACAAAAGCATTTTCTCTCAGCCCACCACCCTTGACTCCTAAAAAAAAAAGAAAGAGAAAAAGAGCCATTCATACCTAACTGCTGCCAAACCATTTTCTGGCTTTGTTTCCAAGTCTGTAATCTAAAGTGGGAGGAAAAAAAGAAGAAAATCACACATATGAATTAATATTGCCTTATAAACAGGATGTAACAGAAAATACTAGTGCCTGTGGAATGACATGTTGCAAAGCCACTGGGACTGACTGGTATCTCACTAAAGCTTTGCATCAGGCTATAGAAGTGAAGTCCCAGTACAATGAAAGCAATGGCAAAACTGCAAAGATTTAACATGAGATCATACATTTTTTCTAAAACAGGCTACAGAATTTCAACGAGTTATCCTTCTACTAAGGGCTTGTAACGCTCCCTAACAAAATGATTGTCTTGATCTGGAAATAGCAAGAGAGCACTATCCACATTGGCCTCTTTCAATGATTAGTTACAATTAAACGTGAGCACCACGCTCCTGTAAAAAACAGCAAATAGCCTGAATTCCAGAGCTGGATTCTTGGCTTACTCATCATCTCCACAAAGTCTAAAGCTAACAGGAATGTTAAGTTGCAATTCTGATCATCATCTACAGCTTATAATTTTCCTGACCCTTAGAGAGAAAAATATCAAACAGTGCAGGCAGAGAGCAGGAGACACCAGGATGCACTGAGCTGTTTTATGGTTACAGTCTCTGCAGGCTCATCCTTGAAATTGCAGCGTGGTTGGGTACACTGGGGACTGGCAGATCTCCTTAAGATCACAGCTGGAGCATCAATTGGATAGTTAAGCTATACCTGCTTAAGAAGGGTTTACTTGGTGCACAATGCTGAGAATAAAGACAATAGATACACAGCCCCTGCCCTGAAGATTGTATTTCACACAAAAAGAATACAGTCAGTTTTGTAGCTAGTTGAAATCCATGGTTGTACCTACACAGCCCTTTCTCCATGCTTTCTTTGTGATGTAAAACCGTGATCTTCTAAGACTAAGGATCCAGAACTACAGCATCCCTATAAAAAGGCCATCGCACTTCAGTGCAATATGCTGATCCACAAATAATGTATGCCCTAAGTAATAAATAGCCACAGTGAATAACAAATTTCAGAGCAATAAATAATAAACAACAACACTGTTTCTTTCAGTGGGAGGCACATGGGGATTAACACACTAGCTCGCTGCAGGCAGGACTGACAAATTATTACTCGCGTTCAGCAAAGATCCCCAGAGCTCTCAAATTCATTTCCTGCCCACTCAACCACCCACAAAGGAGAAGAAACCAATTTCAGACTGGCTCCTTCCAGGAAAACATGAGCAAAAGGCCAAACCCACCTTGGGGTTGAGGGAAGCTGGGACTACTCCAGGACAAGCCCTGCAACACAACAGTGATGCCACTGCTGTCCTCATCTTGCAGTGCTGCAAAGTGTCATTTACTAAACTGCCTTCCACACCTCCCCTATCGTCAGCTGACAGTGACAGCTGAACAGCATCAGCCAACAACAGAGAGCAGAAATCTGCCCATGCCAAAGGTAGGCATTAATTCAAACACAGGTTAGATAGCTGGGGCAGCACAGAGAGCTACGAAAGCTCAGAGATTACTTTGCTTCAGTCTGTCTCAGGCCTTCTTTCCATGGAGACAGTATGAAAATCACTGTATGAATATCAGTTTCTAAGGGAAACAGCACACCATCATCAGGGTTTCAGGGAAACTTAAGAACATTGTGTGAAAATGAGCCCCAAGTTCCAAAACATTAAGAAAAAAAACCTGCCTCAGGGAAAAAATAAATTCTTAAAACTCCTCATTTTTAAAACCAGTTAAATAATTTCTACTATACAGTACTGAATGCTTATGCAGTGACAGCGCTGCAAGGTAGGAGGCTGAGAAATTGCAAAGAAAATAGGCACTTTAGCATAAGGACAGATTCTAATGCCATTCACACATACATACACAACTACCACAATGCAGAATGACACCATTCATTTTAAGAGTGCTTCTTGGGATACAGCTGCACACAAAAGATATCAGAATCTAGCCCTATATACCCCATGTATGTCTCTATAATTATTGCAGCAATACACAAAAGTCCAAACACAGACAGCTCTGCTGCAGAGCTGGAAATGAACTTAATCATTTATTCTGCTCAGCAAAACAAATGGGTCTTCTGTGCATTTTCACTAAATGCTTGTAATAACTGCACCACGAATCATTCCTCTGTTGCGTTTACTCCATGCCCAGCCCTAGAGCCTCTTTAACATCTTTACTTTATAGAACCATCTTTTGGGGAAAATCTCAGGCTCTTTGCTTCCTCAGCTTTTGCAAGCTCTGCTGCCCAGCAGGCACACTGCTGCTGTCCCACTACAGCATTCACTGGATTAAAGTGTTCCCAGCATCTCTCAGATGCCATAATGCCTCTATTAATCAACCAGCAGAAATGTGTACAGACCCAGTGCTGCTAGCTAAGAAGTCAGGCTTGGAGCATCTGAGAGCAATCAGACAGACATCACAACTGAGCAAATGAATTAATAAGCCTATTACCCCATTACCCATTGTATCATCACAGCCATTAAGTTAATACTGTATTTACACTTCACTCCCACACTCACTAAGTGACTTGATAGGCTTCCTTCCGCCTCAAAAACAATTAAACTGTACACTGATTTTTCCTTCACGGTGTAATTAAAAGCAAGAGATGATCCTTGATGTTGCAGGATGAAGCGAAGGCTCTGTTGCTCTCCATTCAATATTAAATGTGAGTACTCATCTGGGTTCTGTGAATAAAACAAACTTAGTTATTTGCTTTTTTTCACACGATAAAGGATCTTGCTCTTCCCACCAAGTGCAACCCTACCATCTCTTCATGGAATTCTGTAAAAAGTGGTTAACAGTCAAAGCTGGTGAAAAGCTTTCCTTCATCAAAAGACCTACATCAACTAATAGGCTTCAGGCTGGTCAAGTCAGAGCTTGGAGCAGTTTCTTCCACAAGATGCAAACCAAACACCAGAGAACCTTCTGTACATGTTGCTACCCTTTCCCTGGAGCCAATCTGCCTCAAAGGGACTCCATCTAGAACGTGGCAGGCAGCTGGTGGCCAGTGGACTGCCATTCTGGCTCCCAAACTAGGCTGACCTGAAGTAATCTGGAAGCTGAACTGGGAAACAAATTGCAGTGCCCATACCCAGCTTTGTCCCTTTCCGTTTCTCTTCTCCTTTGCAGGTAAATACCTTTCATATGCCATTCAGAGCCCAGCAACAATGCTTAGTTAGTATTTTAGCACTGAGAGATGCCAGCTGAATGCCTCATACTGGGACATTTATTCTTTATTCCTAATTCTAGGACAGTATCATTAGACATTCCTCCCTTTGTCAAGGAAGTACTTCTCCAAACCTTCCACTGCTATCTGGTTGGAGATGGTGTGCTCCGTCTCTAAAACCATTCCCTTGGACTTCTAAGAGGCTGGAGAACAAGTCGTAGCATCTGTGGTCTTTAAGGGAAAGTGTCAGAAAAAAGCCCACCCTTTTTCAATGGGATGCAGGTCAAGCCTTCCATCCCCACACATGTACTTACCTGGAAAGCCTCCACTGGCTGCTGAAATAGGTTCTGGTCTTGGATTGTCACTTGAACTGGGTTCTTTGCCAAATTCAGGACCTGAATTAAACTTTCTTTTGGGACAAGTTGAGGCATATCGGTTTCCTAATTAAAATAAAAGGCTTTAAGTGCCATCCATATGCTTTATTAGCACTTTAATAACTTCATTTTTAGTCATAATAGTCTTCTTCTCTGTAATGACACTTTTCCATCCCCTCCTCATCAGAAGTTGCGCTGAGTGAAAACTGAACATAAATCTTATATAGGGGGGGATCTCCTCACAGTTCAATAGCCAACCTACCAACCTTCCCAGAGACTGCCCCTTGTATCACTGAACGTACAGGCTCCACAGCTGCTGAGCAGGTAGAACAACATCCCTGCTTTCACTATGCAGCTCACAAGTGCCATATCAGAATGGAAAGAATTCTGTGACCAGAATAATTATTTTCCCAGACTGCTCAGCCAGAAGCTAAGTTTTGAAAATCCCAGTCCAACTCCATGACTGTAACTGGTGCTTTTGCATCATTTGACACCACGCTACCCAAGCACAGATCTCACTTCCTGTTTTCTCAGAAAGGGAAAACAATGCCTGCAGTACAGAGGAACCTCATTCTGTCAGGAATCATTCCCTAGAAAAAGAACTTAATCAACATCAGCCTTCTGCTACCTGCAATCTAAAGCTATTAATTACCTTTTTTTCCTCACATTCTTTTAATAAGTAGTTGCCAGGAATACTTCAGAAGTATTATTTTTTTTCCATTTTATCCTGTAATTTGGGAATGGCAGGCGGGGTAGTTTGAACCTAGCTTGAAGGGGAGACATTGTCAGAAAAGACAAGGTGTCACTGTCTTCCATGAACTGCTTCCATAGCTGCTCTGGACCAGCAGGCCTTCTATGAGTACCCAGCAAATCTCGTTACTGCAACTTTTCATTTGCACCAAGCTGCCACATGCTGCACTTTGCTAGAGCTTTTAATGGCTTTCAGGGTAAAATTCCCACACAGAGACAGGAAGAGCCTCTAACTTATTGTGTCCCTATCCCTAGGAGCTGCCCACAGCCAGAGCAGGCTTTCAGTGCCCAGAGAGAGCTGCTGTGGCTGACAACGAGAGCATTTTTTCCCTCATGAAAAAACATCAGAAAGGGGAGCTGAACCCACGATCTCTTTTCATTAGGAGATCTGTCAATGGGTTCACCTGAAGAACTTGCAAATGTTAAGCCAGGGCTGTGTGCCAGCCACTCTGTAACAGAACACTTTAAGTATACATGGAAGCTTTAAAAATTAATCCTACAGTATCTTCCTTAAGCCAAAGGTCGGCCAAAGTTTGCACAAAGCTGGGCACATGCCAGAAACAAATGATACAAATCTGTGGGGGCTAACACTGAATTTACAAGAGATTTGCTGGCATCCTGTCTGGGGATGCACGGCCATCCCTGATGTCTGTGACTGTGGAAGTGGCTGCATTCACTTCCATCAATAGAAAATGAATTTGTTGCGTAAAGAACAGATCCCCAGCCTGAAGTACGAAAGGAATGAAATAAATAAATAAACAGTAAAAAATAGAAATCTACAGCAAGAAATAGAGGAGAACAGACTACATTTTGGGAATTAATCACTCGCATTAACCAGGTGTCTGCCAATCACTGATGACAGAAACCTAGAAGACAGATCAATACAGATGACAGGCATAGCAAAACTACAAAGACCAAAAAAGAGACAGGGACACAGAAAGAGACAGGCAGACAGAAAGTAAGAATTTAGCAACTGGATTGGCATGCTTAATTGTAAAGAACACATTGAAGATGATTATCAAGGAACAAAATTGGTAAAAAAAATTATTCAACAGACACTAATAAAAACACATCAGGGAAAGCCAAATATTTCTGAGCAATTGCTTGTGCCATACTTACATTTATTTTGACTTCTACAATGGCTGCTAGTCCGAATGCCATCCCTGCAAGGATCATACCTGTTGCCATTTTCCTAATAGGTCTATGGAGCAAATGAAAGAGGTACACTGAGAAAAGAAAGTAATTTAAAATATAGAATACCATTCCTCAGAGACTAAGACATGCCAAAACTACATATTGAACTCTCCAACAGGTGGCACTGGGAATGATGTGCTGTTTAAATTGCCAATCATTTAACTTAAAACTATTCTATTTTTCTGTATGAGGCTAGCACTGAGGCCAATTAAAACTGGTATGCCATGAAAAAAGTTCTATGCTTGCAAGTTTCATATTGTCTTATTCCTAGCTCATCTAGTGGGAATAGCTCATGGCATTATGTTAACCTGTGATATTGGAATGAGCACTAGAAATTATACATCTTCAAGTCTCTCCTGGGAAAAGCAAAAGATAAGTAGTATGCTACTTAGCAGCAGGAATAAAGAGAAGAATAAATGTATAGTTTATGTCATCAGTGTTTCTGACCATCTGTGTCATCACTCTGGGTTATTTCTCCTGCCAATACATTTACGTTCTTAGAGAATAAGGAACATGCTTTGAAACTGGTGCAAAACAACTCTGTCAGAGCTATATGAGACAATTTGATATAAAAAGGTATAGGATAGGTCTAGAAAGGCAGGTCCAAACTGAGTGCTGAACTGTTGAGATTTTAAACAAATACAGATCTAGATTCAGTGGTTTCCAGTCTTCGTTATGGTCTGAATCATAGTCCAGATGGACAGGGGTCTGGGAAATCCAAATTATGAACCTAAATTCTGTCTCTCATTTATATGGTCTGTTATAAGAAAATTACTATTGTTTGAGTCTTGTGATAAATAATGTGATTTTGACATTGAATCGTGCATTGGGATTGTGTTGCATGAGCTTCTGCAGACACGTAGGCTAAAACCTTGCAGGCTACAGTATATCCACTGCCACATCCATGGCTGAACTGGAGAGGAGCCTGTCAGTATCTAGCATCCAGGGGGCAGAAACAGCCTGACGTTCCATTCTGTTCAGTGCTGCTGCATGGGTCTGTGCTGCTGGATGAGATACTCTCTGAACCTGTTATCAGACAGGAAGCTTTCTGCCAAGTAGGGGCTTGTGAAGCCAGTCTCCCACTCATCTCATTACACACTTTGGTGTTGAAGCATGCGAACTTGGTTCATTTCAGCTGCAGCTGCACTGGCTGAGGCACTCCAACAGTGCACATAACGTATTCCCACTGCTAAAGCAAATCAACTCGCAGACTACAGAGACTCAAAAGTCACATCTCCCCCAAAAAGCGTACACTGGTCCCCAGATACAACTGTTTTGATCTAGAGGTCTTCTTCTATAACATTGCACTTCTTAGAGCAGACTAGGGATAGAACAGTTGGGCTATTGTGAAAACTCCCTTCTCCACTGGCCCCTATCTTGGTGGGAATCTGCCTTCACAAGACCACATGTAGCCCAGGCAGGACAGTGAATTCAGTTGCTGCAGGTAGAGAATTAACTTCGCAGCAATACAGGTGATAAGGAGAAGGACATATTGATCAAATTTAAAGAGGAACTGTTCATACTGGCTTTCAGGGAAAACCTGATGACAGAGCAGAAACCAACATCAGTGAATTTTCCCTGCTGAAATTTCCTTGGCCTATGGAAAATGGTGATACTTCCAGAGAGGCTGAATTAGAGGCAAGTGCTGTAAAGCACAAGTATAGAAATTTGTGTTCCTTCTCTTTAAAAGCTATTCTTCTGCACACTTGCTGCAAAACAGTAAGAAATGAGGTATCCATGTTGTCCCCAAGTACTTACGTGAAATTAAATTTGCACATGTTTATCAGAGGATAGAGCCCAAGGTCAAAAATTGGGATGAAGACAAGAATAAGAAGTGGATTTAAGAACTGCAATACAAAACAATGGGACTTTAGTGACTAGAAAGCAACTTTTAGTAATTAAACTCATAAAGCAATGTCCTCCAGAAATAATTCCATTACAGAAAGGACATGAACACTTAAAAACCTCCTTTTAAACTACAATCATAGTTTGCTCTTTGATGGTTTCTGCTGTTTAGGTTTCACATGCACAAATACATTTTGTTCATACCCTCCTCTCCAAGAGGTAAGCAAGCATCATTGGTGCAATTTCCCTGAAGAGAGAATTGAAGCATTGTGTTTTCAGAGAGTACAAAACCTACTGAAATAGAGGCAGGCAACTTTAGGGGCTGTGCTGGGTGGGACCTTAAAACAGATCAACAATAATGGAAACAGCTTGGGACTTGAGCAAAATCTCATAGGAACAAGCACTATTTTGTGAGTCTGTCACTTTTTCATACTTTCACACAGCATGAGAACCCCTGGGAACTGCTTTTCTCCTGGGAGGGCAGAACTTGTCTGCCAGTCAGAAGTGGCACAGCAAGAAAACAGAGCAATGAAAGAACAAGCAGAGAGAGATGCTCAGTTTCAGCTTTGAAGGAAGATTTTAGGGAAAGGAACAGCTTTGAATTTCTTCAGAGCTGTTCAGCATAAGAACTGTAATCAACTGTGACAACACAGCATCATCTCAGAGCCTTCGTATTTTCATTTGCCCTGCAGGAAGGGAGAAAGGAAACATATTTCAGGTATAAGGCTGATCCCAGTGCAGAGATGTGTTAAAAAGAGACACAATCTGTATCCCCCATATGCCAGCACTAGTTCAAGAAATATTAAGGTGTCATGTTCTCCCACACCTCTGCATTATGCCTGTGTTACGACATCCTTGGGGTCCTCTGAACATCAAAGTTAAGCTTGCTAAACAGCTAGTGTGCAATAAGTCAGAGTCCACACCATACTAGCCAGCAGGACCTCTGCTACTACCTTCAAATCAAGCAGAGAAAGACCACTGGTCCCGTGAGAGGAAAAAAAAAAAAAAAAAAAGAAAAAAAAAAGAATGAGAGAGAACAGGAAAATATATTTCTACAGGGTAATTTCCTACCCTGTAGTATTTTTACCTGCATTTGGTCAGGCTGAAGAACATATATTCCCTGAAATAAAAATGATATGGCAAGTGATTCATAAGTATGATCATGTAAGATTGCATAGCATATACGGCTGATGGCAAACAAGCAACCAGCTCACAGAATAGTTTTCATCAGCAAAGGTGGTTTCCTCAAATCCTTTATATTGGCTTTAGCAACTGACATTGTGCTTTTGACACTTGTTATCTAAAGACAGAATTTAATGAGGATCATTTTGCAGAAGGAAGCTACACTCAGGCCTTGATATATGGTATTTGGGACGTGGCCAGGACAGGTACTGAGTCCCAGCTTCCAGACTGGCTGAGCTCAGGACTAGGTGAGCGGTGAGGAATGGGAATGTTAGTTTTAAGCTGGGACCTGGATTTCGAGCTTACTCCCTCTGCTTCTCTAAAGGAAAAGCCCGAATCCTGTAAGTGAATGTCCTCACACTTCAAGACCCCTGTGCTGGGATGGCATTTGTTCCAAACACCTCAAAAGGATAACAGAAGATTACCCTTGAGCCAGTAGGCTGTACAAACCCCCATCTACTCCCTCCATTTGGCCAAAGGCACCAAATGGGCTTTGGTCAGTTGTTCAACTGTTCTTGGTTTAAGCCAAGAGAACTTAAGGCTGTAACAGCTGCTGTATCCTTGCACCACTGTGTCTAGCCCCTGCAAGTGGGCAAGGCCATCAAGGATAGTCAGAGGGATCTCAGTCTCTAAAAGTGACAGATGAGCTGTCTCCAGGCAGAGGCTGGCATTTGTCTGAACTCCACACAGCTTTTCATTTGAAATTAAGATGAAGAGAAAGGGGGAAAACATTAGGAAGAAAATAATATCTTCCCGAGAAAGCACCGTGGGGATTTGCCTCCTGTCTGCCAGGTTCATCCTGAGCTGAATATAGATTGTCTACCTGTTTCTGCTGGCAGCTGCCTCCTGGGAGAGTGAAAAGCAGTGGACAAAGCAAAGGAGCTTTGCAATTAAAAGCATCAGGCAAATACCTTCTTCTCTTGCTACTTTGTGTACAAATATGCCACTAGAAAACAAGCCTGCAAGCATTTCATGTGGCACTAAGCCATTCCCTGTTAATTCAGTCTCCCTAGCTGAGCACTTTGGCTTGTGAGAGCAGAAACATGGAATTTTGCTAGCACGAACTCCAACAACCCTAATGAAAAAATCAACCCAGTGTTGCAGTTAATTCTCACCTTCATGAGCTGGGGCAACTCACTAGGGCTGAACAAGACTGAAAGAAGCTAAAAACCCATTCAAGCAGGTAGAACAAATACGTACTTGTTTTCTCCTCTACCAGGGAGTGTTTAAAAAATGACTCCTGGTGATTCTTAGATGTTCTGCTGATGGATCACTAAGTGTATATGAGAACAACAGCAGAAAACAAAGTTTCTAGATACACGTCATAAAGACTTCATGAACTTCCATTGTTTGTCCTTCTGGAGTGAACAAAATATTACAAGTGATGTAGTTTTTTTCATGCCTCATTTGAATTAATTAAGCCTAATGAGTATCACATGCTGAGAGCAAAACTTTTTAAGAGGAGGAACTCAAATCTGGGGCCTTACATTGATTTTAAACTGTAAAATGGGCATTTACAATCTTAAATTCTGATATGAGCATCTGCAGGTAAGACCTAGATGGTCTATTAAATACACTTCTGGAAACACTCTGTGTGGTGACATCATTAGCTAGACAGCTGACCTATAGTCATCTGTCACTGCCTTCTGCTCCATTTGCCACTCACACCTTTGAAGTACTTGATGGCTACTAATTTATCCTCACCACATTTCAACCCTAAGCACAGAATTCCTGCTGATTCTTAGAGGCTTCATCAATGCATCACTAGGTAAGCCAGAGCAGAAGTATACAATTACAACATCTCTCATCTACGTCACAAGGGCTGTGTGAACTTTATCTGACTTCCCTGTCTTGAGTGGGGGTCACAGAGCAACCAGTTGCCAGTGCGTCAGCACTCCTGACTTTGCAGGCTGCCAGTGGCTCCCCAGCCCTTGCTCCTTGCCAAGATGTGGTGTGATGAACTGCACACGGCCACATAGGGCCTCTCTCTTCTAATCATTGAAAGTGCAACTCATCCAGACTCATTAAACAGAAGCCCTTACTAGCCAGAGACTTTGATTAAAAAGTAAGAGCAGTGATATTACTGCTAGTCTTATCCCCCGTGACATTAAATACTTACAAAGTCAGCGTTCATCTTTGTAGCTTGCAAAGTCCACCTGGATCCCTAAGGAGAAAGCAGACAGCAATGTAGTTTGCATGATGCTCCGTGGAACAGAGAAGACCACAGTGCTGGAGGTCTTGCAAAACCATTGCAGTTTTGTGCCATTGCAGCACAACCAGCCCCTAGACACCAGGTAGGAAGGTAGTGCACCGTGTCTCCAGGATGCTTTGGTATCACTCTGGCAGGACAGGGGTGCAAATTCAGGCCTGCAACTTGCTGTACTGTACCTGCTGATCAAACAGGGCCCAGAACATCGGCAGTGGTAAAAAGAGAAAGAGAACGCGTGTCACCATTTTAACCTCCCCAATCAGCTGTTTCTATAAAGGAAACAGACAGAAAGTTAAGATGTGAGTGACAAACCAACAGGGGCTTCAAGCTACAAACTACAAAGCAAGAGAGCTCTAATGTTTTTCTACACAACTATTCACTGCATTTATTCATGGCCTTAATTGCAGTTCTGCATTTAAGTGCAGCACCTCGACTGTCCATTAAGGGTCAGGAGAGTACAGACATGGGAATGGACAGGGCAAGTGAGGAGATGCATATAAAGAGTGGGGTGGCCAGGCCAATCCTAAGTCTGCCCGACTCCCTTTGCCCTTCGAATCCACCCTTGTAAAACATCACTCACCGAGTACTGTTCTGATGCCCAGTCAAGCCAGTGATCTCTCCTTGGAATCTGTCGGGAGCGATTTTTCAGCCTGTTTTTAATAGCAAACTAAGGAGAAAAACAGGTGAATAACTCCCTCATGCTTATCCCCTAATTTAAATTTTCCATTTCAGAGGTCTTACTTGTCTGCCATTGTCACATTCCCAGCTCTAAACTGCCCTTTCCACCCCTGAAGGTACATATCATGGGGGTTCTGATGGACACTTCCAAAATTTGCATGTGCACAACCAGATGCTTTAGAACCAATTCTCTGCAGGAAAGTTTCTGTGACACTGATTGATTAAAGGTGTGATATGAACTACCTCCAGAGCTTATCCTCCACAAGCAAACCCAGTATTAGCCTCCAACGACTGTTTTTCTTGATTTAAAACCTGATACATGATAAAGCTTTGAACATAATTTTTTCTTCTTCTGTTCTTTTCTTGTTGGACTGACCACAGTGCTGGGGAGGAAACACCTCTTTATCCACAGCAATATCAAAATCAGAACTCTCATTTCTTTCTTGTTCAGTAGGTCTTTCTTTGCATGTTTCTGGTGCAGCCCATGTCTCATTCAGTCCTAGAGCAGCCTTTAAGTTGGTTTCTCACTGCAGGAGAAATTACTGACACCAAATTTTTAACTTGTTTGTTCATGCTTCTTGCTCCAGCCACTGAACAGACTGGCAAAAACAGTGGCAGCCTTCTTTAGAAATCCTGTCCTTAAGATCTGGTCTGTTTCCCCAAGGTAAATCTGTCACTAGCATTAACCTAGAGAAAAAGAAAACACCTGCTGTTTGCAACAGGTCCTGAACAAGAAACATCGTATCCATCCAAAAGCAAGACATGGTTTCTCATACACTATAGTCAGCTCACACACTATGAAAAACAGTTGATAGGCTATACTGAAACTGTAGAGGAACTTAGAGTAACTGTAGAGTAACTTAATATGAATATTACAGTCTGCTGAACCGATAAACTTCAGTAAAATTGTTCAGCTGAAAGAAATTATGTTTCTAAATTTTTCTTTCAGTCCTTAGCAGCAAACCCCAGCCAGTGTTTCTACTGACGTTAGCTGAAGATGTGGAGCTATGGAAAAACAGTTGAAATGCTGAAGAATAAACTGGGACATAAACGTGTTCCTTATTCCTTACAGGTCAACACAGCAAGATATCTAGCCAGGAGCAGCATCCAGAAGGATTCTAGATGTCACTTCCCCATTCCCTTTGCATTCCTCTGACCTGCGGCTTCAGAATTACACGTGAAGAAGAGAGAATGGCACACACTTACTCCAATGCATTTGCACACTTCAAGTAAGACGTTTCCTTGTGGTGGTGTTTTTCTGTACAGTCCGCTTCCAGCTATGAACACAACTGAAAAAGATTATAATCCAGATGAGAATTTACATGACTGAAGCTTAATCCTGCTCTGTTTTCTGGGGAGGATCCCCCACCCTCATATTCAACCCCTTTGAGGTTTACAGGGCAGTACTTTTATCAAACCAAACAAATGTATAGGGCCCTGTTAATGACTTCAAACTGAAAAAGATGCGACATCCTACAAGAGGCAATGTGATTCCTACAAAACAACTTAAAAAACAATCCACTTTTAATTGCTGATGTTGATGATACCTGTGCGTGAAACTAATCCCAAATCATTGCAACTATGTGAGGATGAATCAAAATCCAACATGAGCTTTGTGTACTTGCACCTCATGCACATTTAAATGACGTTAAGAGAAATTACCTTCACTCATGGTTTCTGTGAAGGGATGAGCAATTTAAGGTACTGTTTTCTCCCTCAAAACACAACATAGATTAGCAAGGCTTCAAAGTACTGTCAGAGTTGGAGCTATCCAATTGCAGATCATTTGTCCTGTTCCTTGAGAGCATTTGACTACATTGCAGTTCCAAAAGTTTTAGCAAGGAGAAGTACAATAAAAGCTAAGCGTGAAATCCATATAACAAAGCAAGCAATGAGAAAAGTAGGTACTTTTCTCACCTGGATGTTCACCATTTCTTTTTTAGGACTATGAACATCCAGTTTTGACTTTCAGAACTGCCAGCGAGGTGTCTGAAGTCAGTTTAGGTGAATTCCAACCAAAGAGACTCGTCCAAAGTCACAGAGTGGGTAACAGCGCTACTTCATTTTTAGCATCTCTATGTGGACTTATTGGTGCCTTCCTAAAGGTGATTCATTAAGTTTGCTGAAAATGCCTCCTGGCGTTGACCCCACTGGGAATTGAGGTTCCTGCATTAAAATAAATGATGTCAGTCCTCTCCTGTATTCCAGACACTGAAGCAGCTCAGAAAATCTTGTCGTATAAGATGCCCATTCTGCCTCTAAACTTGTCTTTGCTTTCCAACATCATGGGAAGGAGATTGGTCAGGGCTGGAAGGGTATATTCTCCAGTTCTGCATGCTGCTCACATAGTTAAATACATCACATCCAAGAGCACTCTAATATTTTACAAAAGTATACAGAACTGCTTTGCTGGGCAGGCTGCAGAATCTGAAAGCAGGACACTAGCTAAAAACACATTACAACTGATGGCCTCACTGGAACTGTAGTATTTACATGTCCATTTTTCCCTGGGCAACTACTGCTATCTTGTTAGAAACATTCATCACACGGTGCTGCACAGAGGAGCCTATGCCCCACTAAACTGTAAGAATGGACCACGTGGGAAAAGAGAAGCTGCTCAGGCCTGTGACCGTGCACTTTTTTTGAAAAATAATTGCTGTAACATAGGTTGTGACCTGATAACATTTTCCCAACGCTCTGATCCTTCTCTAGGATGGAAGTTTGACAGCGAAAAACAACTTAAACATTCTCAGGAGGATGAACTTTCCAAATCACGGATGCAATTCATACAATTGCATGGTCTCTCAATTAAGCTAACATGTTGAATGAGAAATCAACCCATGCTGTGTTAAAAGCTCTCAAATGCAGTATAATAAGGGGACTGCTTCCCTGCAGCAGTGAAACTAAAGCTAATGGGGTGTCCTTTATATTGGCTACTGATGAGTAACTGTAAGAATGCAGAAATTGTTGGGTATTTGATAGGGGTTGAAGAAGTCATCTTGACAGTACATTAACAGGCCTAAGACGCAGGCTTTAGGAAGCAGGATGATTGCAGCTCACTCCTGATTCTAGGGCAATGAGGGCTTATTATTGCAACATAATAATAGGCTGCCACTGTAATTGTGGGAATAACTTCAGCCAAGCAAAGTGAGATATGAATAAAGTGGCATCTCATTCAACTTCCCTTTCTGAGATTTCTGTGTGGAAAGCATTCTGAAGCAAAAGTGGAATGGCCTCAAACTACAAAAAACCTGTGGAAAGGTTAGAAGTGGCATACTAAGCTTCTTCTGTAAGTTGGAGTACTTTGAGTACTACTTTAAGTAGTGCTCAGATGGCAGCTCTGAGGCCTAACCTGCTCACAGGGCTGTAGCACATCAGAATTACTTTAATGTCTTCATTTGTTATACAGAACAACCATCTTTGCACCAGTATCATGATTTAGGATTGCAGGATGACCACAGTCTGCCCATCTCTAAGTGAACTAAAAGTTTTTCTTGCTGATCTGAACCATGGAACAGTTGGATGAGTTTGAACTCTTGAGCTTTCCATCACAGTATCCATCCAGTGCTGGTGAACTTGTGCATTTTCTCATCCACACGCAGACTTAAAAATGGTAACTACTGCTAGAAACATGGTGGTTTTCACTCACCAAGCGCCAACACCATCAGTGCTGCTGGGACACCAAAAGCCAGTGCATAACAATCCTCTCCAAAACATTTCACATCCCCTAAAAAAGAATTCAGAAAGAAAAACATCTCATTATTATCAGCCTTATGTTACCTGGGTTTTTGATTTGCTTCTCTTAGATCAGTCACTTGGTTTGGCTTTAAATCTTCTTTGCTGTTGCTGCTTGACACTATGAATTGAATTTCCTTGAAACAGTTGTCCTCACTTGACGAGGACAATTTGGAAGCTGGGCTCGTGTCTGCCAGCAATAGAAGCTGATAATAGGATATTGATGAGAATAGTAGAAGGGGGACAAATAGATAGAAAGCAGTGATAAGAACTGTAATTTGGAAAGAAAAAAAAAACATTTAAAACAACCTCAAATCATTATATGTTCACATAGATCTAAACAATCAGTACTGTGTTTCCACAGCTTCTGTGCCAGCTGCATGAGTTATTGAGCTAAAAGCTCAAATCTGATTTCATTGTGATCTACAGTGGACAAGGGGGTAGCAAATACCCCTACTCCTAAATAAGTGGGTGCACAGGATTAGACTTGACACACTAGTTGCCTCTCCAATACCTTTTCTCTCCAACTTCCTAATTTCATCAGAGGTAGCCAGGTCTTGCCCACCAGGAACCCAGGTTTGTTGATCCAATGTATGGTTCACTGAAACCCCGTGTCTCTCAGCCTACAGGAGTTCAGAAGGCAGGTTGCAAACAGCGAGCTAGCAGTGAAGTCTGCGTCTGCATGCCAGTGGCTACAAATTACTGCACTCTTGCATAGAAAAAACAACAAATAAGTTTGGCTAAAATAAACAACAGAGTTAACAGGAAACCAGCTCATGAAGCCTTCTGTTGTCCCCGTTTGCTGTCTCTGGGCAATCATGATCAGTTGCATAAGTGTGTGTGGTACATAACATTTATTTGCTTATTTTCATAAATTAGCTCAAATCCAGCAAAGCTGGCAGCAAGATACTATGGACACACTGAACTGTTAACATACAAAGTGAGCTGGACTCCTCCACCTAAAAACATCTATTCCACGTTTCTGCCAAATGTCTTTGGACTGTATTTCTTATTTTTTCCAAGGAAACCTTTCACACTCAGCAGAAATTTTACTCTCCACCTCATTTCCATGTTGCAACTAGTTCACTGTTACGTTGGCACAGGTTTTTACATTCCAAGGGAATCAGATTTTCATCTATGCAGTGATGGCACTGAGCAAAACCCCCTCTCAGCATAAGGTTGACCAGGGTAAGGAGAGTGTTTGCCTCAACACTTTAGTGAAATATAAGACAAGCACAACTGCCCACAGTTTTGTGAAATGAACAGCCTGGTGAAACGAATACTGCAAATAAAGAAAGCTTCCTGAAGGCCACAGGAGAGAATGAAAAAATTACCAGTGTGAACATTACCTAGTCCTGCCCCCAATCCCTTTGCCTGTGGTCTGTTCCCCTCCCTCTGCATCTGTGCCTTATTTATAGCATGCCAGTCCCCTGGTTTCCAGGCGCTACGATACAACGAACGAAGTACAGCAGGGACAGAATGTAAAGTAGGTCCTAAGTGGGGCAGAGGCCTGTGCTTTGTTTTCAAGGGTAATTGCTCAGAGCTGCAATCTTCCAAGCAGACCAATGCAGACATGCTTGGGTGCCAGGACTGAGTCCTCCCACAGTCAGCAGTGTAGTGTAGGACTCCAAACCCATCCTTGCTAAACCACTCAGTCCTGATGCCTGCCCAGGACATCAGAGATCAATTCCCCATCCACAGGTTACCTACAAGCAAGGCAGGGATCAATACTTCACTGTACACAAAAAGAATTAGATGACAATTCAGATCCTTCCACCTCCCATATTTTAATTCCGCAGTTTGGGCTGGCGTTGAAATACAACTGGGAATATGGTTTTTGTGACTTGCCTGCTGCTAGCATCATAAATCTGTCACGCTGCTATGGCAGGATTAACAAGGCATAAATGCAATACACTGACCAATCCAGAGATAATATAATTTCTGCCATTCAGTTGTCATAAGAGCCTAACAATGCACAATGGAGTAGCCAGAGGGCAGCTAATTTATTGTTTTACTCTAAATCAACACTGACCTCTTAATACAGGCGTTACAAACGTAGAGATCAAACTTCCAGCATTAATGGATAAATAGAAGACGGAAAAAAACTTGCTTCTCTCTGAGGTCTAAAACAAGAGAAGACAGTATCAGTTTCACAGCTAACGCACAGCATCAGGCTTGCAAATTCAGCTCTCTCAATTCTCTTGTTAGGAAGACTGGGTAAATGTTGACACAAAGTGCATAAAATGTTAGGGAAACAAACTTGCCTTCAGGTAAACGCTCACACAAATCATCTTACTTGAGATGCACTGTGGGGCTTTTTGGCATTTCAGAGGAAAAGCCACTGCTTTGAGAGTGTTGCGAGATTGGAAGGGGGAGAGCATCTACTTATTCAGGTCCTTTGTCACCTAATTCAGTACAGCTTGGCACAGCTCAACAAGATCATCATGTGTTCCTATGTCTGAGCTTTTTTCTCCCCTCCTCTCCTTCCATTAAAAAAAAAAAAAAAAAACCTGCATATTTTGAGTTTACACGAGCAAAGATGAGAGTGGCAACAAATGAAAAGGATCCATAAGACAGGAGATTATCAAGCTGAAGCCTGTCAACATCAGACTAATAGGGGAAATTAAATCTACGGGAGCATATTCAAAAGCTCAGAACTCAACAGATGGTTTAACACAGAGTTCATACAGTTAAAGGATTCTTGCTGACCTTCCTTCCTCCTACATAATTTCCAGTTTGGAAGTAATCAAGAATTTGACTCAGGTTTTGGTGCCTTTCACAAAGTAATATGTGAAGGCATTCAGTCAGATGCAGTCCCTCCTTGCATGCACTGTAGATATTCAGAGACACATGCACTAACAGTGCTAAACTTCCTCACTGTGCCTGGGCTGGCAGAGCAGAGAAAGAAGGCTACCTGGCCTACACCATGTTCATCTGTACCACCAGCTGGGGACATCTCAGTTGGTGAAGCTGGCATTTAAAAACAGCCCAAGCCTAAGCAGCCAACGTATTTAATCAGTATCTAGGGCTTCACTCCCAGCTGTCACCAGGTTGTGCAATGGCTGTGGACAAACTGGACACGTCTCAGTGCATGGCAGCAAACTCCTTAGGGCACCTTGAGCCACATCTCTATGACCTGACCATGGTTGGAATGCGAAGCTTTAACTCGTGCGTGAGGAAGCTCCCCAGACATGTGGTCTTGTTCCCTTCTGCTCCCTGAGACAACAATATTCACAAGGTTGAAAAACAGGATTAAAAAGTAAATAACTGCAGATGAGTAAAAGAGGACAACTTTTAAGGAATCAATCCTGAGATCTCAAGGTGTACTAAAACTTCCTTATATACACATTTATAGATTAAAGTGATGGAAAAAAATGGTCAGAGTAGCAGAAGTGAGTACAAAAATAATGGCCAACAGCTTGCAATTTACACTGATTGGAAAAAAAAAGAATTCCCTCCTTCCTTTCTTAATCTTTGTAGCAGACGTACATTAATAACATGATTTGGATTAACTAATTAGCGAAAAGGTACTGTACATGATAATCCTGATCTCCTTGGCAACAGCAATACAAAGAAACAAAGAGAAAGCTATTTAGTACCTTAAAAACCACACCGCACTGTTTGAAAGCAGCTTTGGTCCTTAATTAATATGCACAGCAGCCTGTGCATTCATGTAACATATTGTAGATACCATTTTATTCAGGCATTTTTAGCCTGGACTGCTAATCCCATAGACAAGGGTACCTGGAAACCTGCAGATAAATCTACTTTCTCTATCTGAGCTCCTGATGAATCAGTATCCATCACTGTGTGTAGTACGACTGTTCTGAAAGTGGCAGAGCCTAGAATTTACAAAGTACTCTTAAGAAAATCAGGCCAACGGTGTGCCTATGCCTCAAAAGTTAGCTTTATCTCCACGTGGAAACCACAGAGCAATCCATTTATTTACTTTAGATGCAGACCACCACATCCCTCATTTCCAGATGGAACAACTAAACCCTTACAGGTTCAGCTGAAGTTTATTGGTGTCTTGAAAACTGAGGGGGAAATCAAGTTCTTCATCTCATTTGGAATTTTTAAAGCTTACTTCACTCTAGCTGGAGTGGAAGATGAAAAACACAGGAAGCCTTCCCAAACAACACTCCCGAGAGGAAAAAAAAAGTTCTGGTTGGCTCTAAATCTTTCATCCCTTACAAAATCGAAACTTCTTGTTCTGGTTTTGAAGACTTACATTTCCTATCACATACGTAAAACCTTTCTTTTTCTTCTTCTGAAGGGAAAAGTCATTTCAAAATGGTAAAATACAAACTTTCTATTCTGAAAAGAATGAATAGAACAGAACATATTGTCCTTATCAGAAGGCTTTTTAAGGTTTCTTTTTCTAAATTAGTTTCCCTTGAAAGCAGCACAAGGGAATGTCTGAGCCTTAGCATTTGATAAATTTGTTGGAGAGGTGTAGTCTAACTGCTGGAGAATAGGCACAGGCCCACACCAACAATGAGCAGTTTGGGTTTTTCTCTGTAACTGAGTTGTAACGGTAAGCTTGGGATAATAATAATATGTGCCTGACTGGGATGCTGAGATTCATTAGCTGAAGTCTATAAAACACTCTGAAGATAAGTGGTACATATTACCATCCTGTAATTAGGTGGTAATTGAAAGATGCTGGATAAATATTATTAATCATTAATATTCATAGAAGTAGCACTTCTGAAAACGCTGCTATAGCACCTGTTACAATCCTTGTGGGGGAACTATTCGCACTGCAACCTGAGATGCCCACATGCTGGTACACACACAGTGCATCCCCAGAGCAGTGTGCTGCACTGCCAGCCAGAGTTGTGGTGACCACCTCTGATTGCTGCTTCTCCTTCTGCAGCATCCTGTAAAGCACCAGGTCTGACTGGCAGTACAGCACGGAATGCACACACCTGCAGAAGGATCTGCTTGTAAGATTCACCACTTTAGTATCATACAGCTGATGTGAAGAAAGACCAAGCCTTCTCTACGTTTTAAAATAAGTATTTTAGTCTGTTTTATTTATCCATTAAATGCTAACTGCATGGTGGAACACTGCAAAAGGCAAACACCAAACTCCTTCACCAAGGCCACTTGGCCACCCCTTATCTAACTCCATCAGTGGCTATTCTGATAGGCCACTACTGGAATGTCCTTACTCAACACCTCTATTGATGGGGATTTCCATCTTCTAAAGATCCCAATCTTTTTCAATAGGTATATTTTTTTACATTTTTTTCTAACAATACTAAATAATTCTTAGTGGATTTAGCCTGCTCATCACAAATCCACTTATTTTCTTCCTTGTAGCGGTGGCCTTCTGTGACTTATGATATGCACAGTAATAGCTAAAAGTAGTACATTCTGACCCATTTCACTTCTTCAGGTGCTACCTTATTCCTGATTTAGCCACTGGTTTACATAATGGAAATTTGAGATTGATGCATTACACAATGTGAAGGCCAGTACTAAGTCCTTGTGATGGATAACAAGGACATGAAGAAACTGGATTACAATTCACAGGATACAATACTAAAAAGAAACATTTTTCCAGCTCTTCAGAACTTTCTATTCTGGCATATCTAGAAAACATTCTGACCACATTAGGTACTAGAACTACCTTCAAAAGGCAAGAATTTTCTACAGTTCTTTCTCAACAACAGTCTAATTTCTGTTTTGAGGGAAAGTCCCTAAGCAGAGAGGCTTTCAGTACAGTTTTCCCTTTTGTTTGCTGTACTGTGTTGCAATGTGTTATAATCACACTTCTTAAGCTGATTCAGAAATGCCAGTCTTTCTATGCTATACTTATACAGGATCTTCCAATTCCTCCAGTGCCCAATTAATATTTGGATTACTTGATGCAATTATAACCTATCCTTCCTGATATCAATAGTATTCTGTTGTTATTTCCCTTTCCTAAAGCATCTTGATTCTTTCAGGTCTCATGCAAACCATCCTACTTCACATCTTTTCCTAGCAAATTATTCCTATATAATTTCCTAGCAAACAGGCTCCAGTACAACAGAATCTAAAAACATGAACACCCTCATAAAATACCCAGACACTGCAGAGTTTAGAAAAGAAAAGAAATCTTACATGTTCCTCTTCAAACTGGTCCCCACCAAATGCAGAGACACAGGGCTTGATACCTCCCGTTCCAAGGGCGATCAAAAACAGACCAACCATAGACAGGACCCTTCATGCAAGAACAAAAATAACACCATTGCAGAACCCTTCCACTGCTTAGGGGAACATTTTATTGTCACTCAACCATAATTCCTCTAGTATCACTGTCTCTGGCACATTGGCAGTGATGATGAGCCAGCTAACTGCAAATATTTACTTATTTATTTATCCTCATTTCTGCATTCAGCATAAGTCAATTAAACAAACAGTGTTTGTCAGTTTCTTGCTGTTTGGAGGCCCACTAAGTATACCAGACATCAAAGATCCAAGGTACTATTTTTCATTCGTCTGAGAACAAAAGGCTGCAGAAATCAATTGAGAAAAGGAAAATTAAAACAAACAAAAAAAACCTTTGCATATAAGACTTCCAGTCTAGGTAAGTGAAGAAATTCTGTTTGAATTAGGCTCTTGAGTGCTTTCCACCTCCCAGCACTCCTCAAAATCGCTCTGTTGGTCCAAAAGATTATTGATTATTTCTGGGTAGAACGGGAGTATCAGGACAGGTCAAATCTAGGACAAAAGAAAGCTGCTGTATAAACCAGATGTACTCCTGCCTGCATGCATGCATGCATTTTTAGTGCCAGAATCACCTCGGTAAAAACAGTGTGGTGGTTTCAGAAATGCCAGCTGGAAAACTACTCTGACATTCCTATCAGTTCAAAATCTAGAGGGCAGGAGAGGTATTACCCTGCAAGTAACACATCATTCCTGTGTCACACATCAGAAAATGTGTATTTAGGATTCAGCGTTCCCATGTACATGAGAGGATCTTGCTGAGCTGCATAGCTACAGCAATGAGAAAATGAGGGAGAAATGAGCTGGTGTGAGCAATTGGATGGAAGAGACCAAACTCCAATAGCATAATGTAGCAGAGAGGCATGAACAGAAGTCTCCGTGTCAAAGGGCTCAGTCCTGGTGATGGTTCCGAGCTTTTCCTGGTGAATTCACACTCTAGACTTCCCCTCCAAACTGCTGGCCTGATGGAGGTGAAACAAGTGACAGACCTGGGTAAACCACCTACCATTGCAACCTACAAAAATATTCAGCTTCAGCAGCTACTTACACATGAACTGCCTGGTTGCCTAGGGATGGAATGGCACCGACTGACTTTATCAGATGGCCGACCACATACACAATGGAGAGGTAGATGATTGTCCTGTGAGCAAAGCAAACAGCAGTGACTGAAGGTGCTGAGTGATGTATGATGTGAAAACAGTGTGTCTGTGCTTCCTGATACGAAAGGTCTATTTAGCAGATGCACAAGGAATAGTTTTGTCCATAACCCCAGTACTGCAGACAGCTATAACTTTTACGTCAACATTTAGCACACTGGAAAAAGGAGATAAGCAAATGGATTGAGATTAGGGAAGCATTCTTTGGGGAGATTGCTGGGCAGAATAAGCTAAATGTTCCACACTGCAAATAGATGAGTACTCTTCAGGTTCAACTCAGTTTCCAGACTACTAATAACTGGCAGTTTGTAGCATGCACTTAACTGTGCTGGAAGGAATCTGTAGGGACTGCTGCTCGCTTTCAACCCACCTGATTACTACATTCGAATTAGGAGTGTGGTTTTCCTGTTATAAGACTGAATTGAATCTCAAGCACCTCTGGAGGACTGAGCTCATCTATCTGCTGCCCACATCTTGGTGAGTGTGAGCAGGAAATCTGACCAGGAGGGTCAGGCTTTTCAGTGCACTACATTGCTTCATCATCTTAAAGATTAACATACATTTATGTATTTATGTGCAGACAAAACACTCACAGTAAAAATGGAAGGACTTGTTAGGAAAGAGATGCTAGAAGAAGTCCTGTGATCTCCTTTAATCTGTTATCCTGTCCTTAGTATTGGTTTAGCTATTGCAGCAAAAGCCACCATTTATAAAGACTAGGGGATTATTCCAGGAAAAATCTCTTGCCTAATGCACAAAAGTTTGCATAATGGTTTATTTTTTCACAACATCGCACTGCAAGATAGATATCCTCAAATAGCTTTGAGCATTCCCAGGCAACTTCACATAACAAAGCTAAAAAACAAACCAACTGTGTGTGTATAGGTTTTTTCATTCAATAGGACAAGAAAATGACTAAGTTAAAGCACAAAGAAAAAAAGGAATATTGATATCTCTTTAAGAGCTTTCTGCTACAAAGGCATATTGCAGCAGTTTTTTTTCCATGTAGAGACTCACACTGCCAGATGTGCTTAGACCTATAGGGAAGGGTTCAGCTGCACTTCATCACTAACAGCAAGACTCCTCAGGCAGTGAGCAGACAGTGCCAAGGAAACAATGTCCTGTATACAGTTGCTCATCACCACTCTGGGACAGATGGTAGCCCTGAAAATTATCAGCCTAAGGGATGACTCCCTAATTTTCTCAGGGAGAGTTTAGCTGGTTTTATACTAAGGGAGATGATCTGACTGAACCCAGGTTACTCTGGGATAAAAATAGGTGTGTTCACGTATTCCCTATGCTGAGAAAGCATATGAAGGTACAGTTAGTGACATTTCATCTGAAACTACTAAATTCAGAGGACGATACTGCTTCCTTACCATCTTTGGATTCATCTCAGTGACAGAACTTTGTAATCTGAGGGTTAACCACCCTATATCTTAGTTTCCTCAATGTGTATGGGGAAGGAAGGTAAAGGAGCATTGTGCTCTATGATTTAATTTATTGATTTGGATTACATTGCCTATTGGTCATTGGGTGAAAGAGGAGCACATAACAGCATGAGCGAACACATTAGTTGTTCATCCATTAACAGAGAGAAGCTGACATTCACAAGTGTTTCTTTGCTGCATCCTGAGCTAGCTCAAAATCAGGAGCACAGGCAGCACTGAACCTTGTGCAGGTTGTACAGTGCAGACAGATCCTGTCTGAATTAGAGAAATGTTTACTTACTTGTATTTCCCCAACCACGAGTCTGCCATGATGGCTCCAATGACAGGTGTGAAATAACAGAGAGCAGAAAAGGCATGGTATACAGCAGTGGACAGATTCTCATCCCAGTGGAAGAAGCTTATGAAGTACAGCGTCAGGACAGCTAAAAGGAAGCAAGCAAAACACATCAGATAATTGATGTGCATCTCTGTGGGTAAGCAGGAAGCTACATCACAGTGACAAGGAAAACAGGGATTTGCGTACCAACTATGAGCACTGCTGTGGAAAGATCTGTGCTTACAGATCTATTCCTCATAATCCCTTACACAGGAAAAGCTTAAATGAGGTATGTGAGTATCAAGTTTTCCTTGTTCATGAACATTTATGTTTAGCTGGAAAATATATTTTCTAGCTTATCACACCTGAGCCTGTAGTTCTGTTTATGCATAATTTCTATTTGCAGATTAGGTGCCTGTATGATTCTATTCTCAGACACAGAGAATGCACACAACTGAAAGACATCACACACTGGAAAAAGAGGTTTGAGACTGAGAATGATACAAAAATTTAGATTGGAAGTGATGTTGGAGGTCTCTAGTCCCAGTTTCTGTTTATAACATGTCTAGCTTCAACGTCAGGGCGTGTTGTTCATGCCTAATACCCAAAATACCAATTTACTTTGAAAGACAATTGAGACCACATACAGCAGAAGTCTGGAACACCAGGCTATCATATACAGAAACACAAGGATGGGAAATTCTCTTCCCATGGGCCACGTACCTCTCATGCCATAATAGGAGAACCGCTCACAGAACTCATTCACCACAATGAAGGCAATGCTCAGGGGGTAGTTGGAGCCACAGAGTTTCTAAAGGAAACAAAGCAGAACATATCAGCTTAGTGACAGCTTTCACTGTTGCAACACATCCACACAGCACCTGGGCAGCAGAGAGAGGAATCCAGTCTGTACCCAGGTGCTCATCACTGCCTGGTTAGCCTGCAGGTTGAACTCAAGGGAATGAGGAGACCCCACATCCATCTTATTTTGGTTATGGTTCCCTATGAATCCACCTGGCATGGACCCAGTAAGGAACAGCACAGGGACTCCAGCACTGCCAGCAGCCAACATCTGCCCTGCCCAGAGCTCTAGAAGCTCCTTTGGAAAGATCCTACTGCCTCTCTGCTGCAACATAACATCCCACTGAGATGCAGAAAACATCTTCGGACGCATTTTTATCTATAGTTCACACAGAGCTACTGCTTTTCCCTGAAACTGCTGCCTCCCCCAGCACCTAGAAAGCTGCTCCTTCCTCAGTGTCAACTGCCCTCAATCTCTGCACCTCAGTTACACCATCTGCATCACTGCACTCACTGCAGCAGAGCATCAGCCACAGCAACTATTTCATATTCCAAGAATGCTGGCAGAGCTATGGGTAATTCAATTTATTAAACAAAAAAATCAAACAAAAGAGCTATGCGCTTCTCAAACCTATCTGAGCCTGGCTACTTTTTTTATTGACATCAACTTCATTCCAGATGAAATCTGCTGTTTCCAAGTGAAGTGCAAGGAATCCAAACAGCCAGATCTTAGCATGACCTTGTGTGGGCCCCCGTCCCTCTGCTGCCCACAACAGTTCCAGCTAAACAGCTGGGAGCTGCTGGAAGCTGCTTATCTCCACTGCCTCCCACCAGGGACAGCAAGATTTTATAGCTCTGCCAATTAGTGGGAGAGACGGGCTGGGCACGCATGGGGTGAAGGATGGGGGTGTAAGACTGTCATCTGCATTCACGTCCGAGGTTTTAAACAGCTGCAGCATGGACCAGTGGAGTGAGATGAACTCTTCGTATGCATTTCTGTACCTCGTGTCAGAAATAATGAATTCCTGTATTACTTCTCAGAGTCTCAAATGTAAATACAGATAAGACAGATGTGTTTATTGAGGTTTATTCCACCACGAGACTTGAGCTTATTCGGATTCCCAAAGCAATGCCTCCTAGGTTAGACGACTAGCTAATCATGCTGTCTTGCTCAAGACTGTACAAGGACCACAGAAGAGAAGGAAGGAACAGTTTGCTAAATAAAACAAAAGCGATAACAACATCATGACTAAATCCATTTCCACCACCTAACCCAGTATCTGTGATATTTTTGTGATTTTTGAAATATTTACCTCTCACTATTTATGGAATGCCTTGTTATTAAGAAACCCTTGGACCCTTGGGTAACCCTTGAATAAATATGTAATTATCCACTACATTTATAGTTTGTGCTGAAGCTGTTGTGCTCAGCAGATGGCTACCAAGACAGAGAGGGCTCCCTTGGAAACTGTATTGAGAGCTCCTGCTTTTAGACCAGCCTGAAAAATGGCAGCATATATAAGCTGCAAATGCACTAACACACAATACTCTCCTCTAACAAGTTCTTAATAACACAGAGGAAAAGCCATAAGGAGGAAATAATGCTTCCTCTGGTTACTTTGTGGCATTTTTTGAACTTGGAAATAAAATGACATAACAGAGATATTTTTCTTCCACTTTTCCCACACCTTACTATCAACACTGATATTTAATAGCATTTGATGCAGATACAGACTGGGACTCCCCAAAGCCAGGGCAGCCAGGTGTTGGGAACACTGCTGCCTGAACTCACTGCTCAGTGCACAAGCTCTGCAGGATCTATCTGCATCAGTGGGAGGCACCACGTGCCACGCTGTGACCTGGAGTGACAGAAACTCTGGCAGTGGCCCAACTCAGCTATTCCTGCTCTGGGATGGGCACCTCCAACAGATGAGTGCATACAAGCAGGAAAAGGAGAGCAGGAGGAGGGACTTGACAGCTAAACCTGCCCCAGTGCCTGAGCCAGCACCTTAAGTAACTGCTTACAAAAGCTGAGCGAGGGACTTACAAGCAGGGACACTTTCATCTGGCCTGTACGCCGTGAGAAGGCATCAGCGTGCACAGAAACACTCAGGTGCTCTCTCTGCTTTATCACTGACCTGCATGGGGCCTGCCTGGACATCCAAAAGTGGGCAGCTTTCATCCATGGGAAGAGCCAGCTGCAGTATGCTCACTTTTGCAGAGGAGGACCTTGCTCAGCAGAAAGCCCCAGCTAAAGCAAAGAGGCTAAGCCTGGATTCACGAGCACACAGCTACACTGCTGTGCTTAGCTAACCACTGTAAGCCTGGGATGTGCAGGATTATGGAGCTCTTAGAAATACTGTGGAAGTTGATAGCCTGTGTCTTCGAAAAGAAAAAAAGAAAAAAAAGAGGTAATTTAAAGTGCCAGTGGCAGAGTTGTTTGCTTGCACTTCTCCCTCTTGCTGATTAGCTGCAAAATAGGACTAAGATTAGTATTTCAGAGGAGCTCTGAATACCCAGTAGTTAATGCCTGCACAGTACTTAAAACAATGAGCTTAATATCTGGCTTGCTAATGACATCACTGGCTGCAAAAGCAGTTATTACCATATTGTCCTGCGAATCAAAGCAGGTGGAAAACAAGCCTCTTTCTCACCAAAGCCAACGCAGTGTACAGATTCTTAGTGTCAAGCCCTCAGCTGAAACTAGCCTGAAAACCTACACAAACGTGAGAGCTGCAAGGCAAGAAAACATTGAATCTGGCTTAACTGACAGTCACTGATGTAAAGCTGAGGCTCTGGCACGCATGCCAGTGGCCTGTCCAAAGTCCCCATCCCTCCTGCTTAGCAGCATCTGGAGACCTGTCTCGATGGTCTCATCAAAGGAAGCAAATGCATAACCCAGCTCCCTCCTATCCGTGCATGACAGCCCCTCACACTTTGCAGAAGGAAATCCGTTCTCACAAGGAAAGGAGCATTCAAGAAAAAGGCAGCAATGAAAACCCTTACTCTTTTATTTTTCCCCAAGGATGCAAACAGTTCATTTTTTCAATTTAAGCTGCCCTTTCTTAACTTAATCAGGTTAGTGGAGGGATTTTTGCATGGAGTTGTTAATGCTTATTTCAACCCTCTGCAAGAAAGGGTGTTTGTCTCTAGCCATAGCACAAAAGAGGAAAGAACAGAGAGATCTTGCAATGTTTAGAGCAAGCTGAGCAGAAAGCAAAAAAAAGGAAATCAGCTGTAACACTCACCGGAGATTTTTTCTGAACAGGGAAATCTTTGGGGGGATCATCTCCTGCAGAAATAAAAGTGAACAAACTTTCCTTGGATTCGTTTCTCTGAAAAGTGTTCATCTCCCCTCTCGCCTCGTCTCCCACCATGCTCTGTGGCCGTGGTGAGTTGACTGGGAAGATTTCCAACCTAAGGCATGAAGTTTGATTCAGTTTGAGTTAACCCTAATTGAGCACATTTCTGCAGCCAGGGCAGAAAGGGGAGGGAGGTGCCATGAAGAAAGACAAACCAGAACTCAGTAAGAGCTGGGGAGCGCAGCCTAAGCCTTCTGCAGGTTGGGGCTGTGAGCACTTCGTGGCACAGACCTCCTGTTTGCTTGGCAAGCTCCCAGCTATCGTACATGGATCAGCCTAGCACAGCCCTGTATTGCTGCACAGATGTGAGCTGAATAAAAATCCAGGGTCCGAGAGATCTCGAGAGCCTGCTGATTTAGGACCAAAGCATCATAGCATCAATCTCTCCTCCACTGTGCTAATGTCAGGTTTATTCTGCAAGGGTCTCACTCCACTGAAAAACCATGTTACCCCAAGTCATAACCACTGAAACTCATCACACGAAACCCTTGGACAGTGGATGTCATGGTATTAAGTCATTTCTTTGCTGTCTCAGGACCAGAGTATATTTCCACACCAATTCCCTGGAACATCCTTGACTTTCTCTATGGGGCAGTTTAATCCTGAGGGCACAGATAGCACCCAGAAGCAGCCTCAAATCCCCTGTAATGTCTCTTTATATCCAAAGGCCACCTCTGGGATCCATATGATGCAAATGCTTTCTATGCTAGGTATGGAGCCCCTGGTTCCCAGCAGGCACCCTGGTGTCCCTCCTTATCTGCCCTTCCCGTGGGAATCCAGGGAGCTCCTTATCAGTATTCCCTGGTGATGGTTGCAATTAGAGTAAAATTCACAGCCTTCCCATTAACCATCCTCAGTGGCTGCAGCTCTGTGATATTTCAGGTGCAGTGCAGGGTTTTTTCTTCCCCTTCCATTTGGCTTCTTTACAAGGCAAATGTTCAAAGCATTTTCCCAAATATTCCTTCCACTTTTTACCAGAAAAAGCACAGATCATACCCAGGATCTGCAGTTGGTACAAGAGTCTTCCTAAAATCATCCCTAGCTCTAGAACCAAGTTGCTACTAGTGCTTGTTATAATGGAGCCAGGTTTGCAGTCAACAAAACTGGAAAGAGGCATCTGCTCACAGCACAGATCCTTTGTTTATCTTCAGTTCTTGCTAACAAGTCATGGAGAACATCTTTGTTAAGCCCATTTCACGGGCAAGAATGACTTTAAGGTATATTCAAGGCTAAGAGTAACACAAAGAACAGACCATGTGCAAGTTTGTCCTGCCTCCGGCACACCAAGCCAGCATATACTCAAGTCCTGTCAATCTGTTCCTGCATTGAAGGCAGCAGAAGTATTTCCAAGACAGATGTTGGTCTCTCTTACTTGCCAAAGCAACTCCAGCCAAGCCCCAGTAGGAGCCTGCTATGTGAGCAGGGCAAACACAGCAAAGTTTATTAAGGATTACACAAAAGCAAGACAGGAGAGGTTTCAGCATCCCTTGTGCAGGGCTCCCATGCTGATGCAATGTGATGCCTTAATATTACCTTTAGCATCCTGCAGCTATGCTTCCCTTGTGTGTACATAGCCCTGTGCTTTACACCAGCTAAGTGATTTTTCTAATACTAGCATGAAAAAATGTATCAGTCAGTGGAATTAACATGCTGCTTGTCAAATACAGTGCAGAGATGTTTAGGCCATTATCTTCTGGAAGGTTTTCTCAGACAGAAAGGGAGAAAAAAGAATAAAAATGTCTGGTAATAAATGGTAAGTCACAGCAAGCAGTGAGAATGAGTTAAGGAGGATATATCTGCAAGCAACTCAGATACAAGTTGAATAAAACTTGATAGGAGACCTGTGTGGCTGGGATGAGAATTGGGAAGGAATTGTACCACAAATGGAAATAAGGTGACACTTCTGGAGATGGGTATAAACAAACAGATCGAGTATGGAGCAATAGAGGCTGAAAAGCTAAGGCACAAAATGAATTATAGCTAGCAGGGGACACAAAAGGCAATAAGAAAAGGTGTTAGAAATGCTGTAAATATTGGAGAAAGAGGAAGGAAAATGAAAGTCTTATTGAAACTAGAAAACGAGCAAACAAAGGCTGATCGAGAGAAGCCAGAGAAGTTGTGTCCTTTTTGTATGTCTTCAATAAAAGAAAAAAAGCCAAAATATAAAATATTTGGATGCTTCAGTTGTGCTCAAATCATTACAGACTGATCAAGTTCACTTTTAAGCTGTGGATATGGTTTTTGAACCAATTTCCTTATAAGGGACAGAGGCAGGACAAGCTTCACCATTGTCTTTGAAAAGGCAGGTGAGGCTTCATATAAAATACCCATCCAGTGGACAAGGGAGAAACCTCTCTCAGGGTAGCTCACAATACTTCCCCAACAAACTGGAAGGTAGAAAACATGCGGGTTCCCAACTTCTCCACGAGCAAAGAGAACATCAAGCACAGCCAACAGGCTGCTTGCACTTATGCCCAAAACTGGGATGGAGAATAGGGCATGAATTCCAAATTTCTATGTGGGAGAAACCATCTTGTGGCTCTGGAATTAATATTCAGGAAATTCAGGAAAGACTGCCAAATGCTACCCCAAGGAAAAAAAGGCACAGAGACCAACTATTCTCCACTTTCATCATCAATAAGATGAGAAAAATAACTGACTTCAGTAAAGAAGATTTGGGGCCTCTTTTGGCCAAATTTCCCTTTTGCAAGGATGTGGGAGCACTGACAGAAAGGTGGTGCAGCTGAGGCTGCAGAGTTCAGGCAATCCTTGATGTCTGATATTTAAGAACATATTAGGGACTCGCTCAATATGTCAGGTCCTGTTCCAGAGCAGGCAGATAGATCAGGTGCCCTTCTGAAGTTTGCTCTTCTGAATTTCCATGAAAAACCTGTTTTATACAACTTCAGCTGGTAAGCATGAAAGCAAGGACTGCTTTCTGTAAGATCTTTTTTCTCCATTGTCATTCTTGCAAGTGGACAACCTGTAAGATGATCCATGCTTAAATGTAATACTCAGCTACCAGATGCCTTGCATAGCCGTAAGTTTCCATGAATACATTATTTTACAACTTTCAGTTCATCATTTAAATTTTTCAGATCCCTAAATCCACAAGAGGACAATCTTCATTTTTCTTTTGCATTTACAATTCTTAGATTCTCACTGCTTTATGCTGCAGTGCTGTACACATTAATCTGTTTATACTCAACTGATCCATTCATTTATATCTGCATTCATCTTGCTGTTTAACTCCTTCTTGATTTTCAGCTCAGCCACACTGGTCTCTTTCTAACGAGTCTTATTTTGAATTCACACACACTGGTTACACTTTTATAGTATTTTCACCATATCTTTGCTTCTCTCCTCTTTCTTTTCCTAAGCAAAAGTTACAAGCATGCCAGAAACACTTCAGGCCCTGGTCTAATCTTTAAATGGACAAAATAACCTCTCCAGACCACTTCTGGCTTCCTTTCTTCAATTCTTCCATTATAGAAAAGATCATAGCTTAACTTATTTAGATAGACCAAAACTGGCTCCCAATTACCTGCAGACTCATACTAAAGTATTAAAAAAAAACCACACAAATGTATCAGTTGATCAACCAAAAAAAGATGCCAGAGGTCTTTAGTCCTGCCTCCCTATTCTGTTCACTAGCCCCTATAGACTCAAACCTGTAAAGGTATATCAACCAATAACACTAACAATATCAAGTACCTAGCCTGTCTTTAAGTGCCTTTTATCTGGTCACTAGTCAGCCTGCACGCATCAGGGAAACTTCTCATCCCTCCTGCTGCCTTTTTGCCTTCAGTTTAGCAAAAGGAATTTTAAGAAATTCTCTCACCAGCTTGGGCTTCTTTCACAGTTTGCAGCTCATTGTCCTCTGCCATTTCTTTACTTTGGGTGCATCAGATGAACACAGCTATGCTGTGCTTGAAGATGAACCTTGTTGAACAGTCCTGGCTCTCTCACCCTGTTAATGTTTCACTTCACAGCAGCAGTCCTTTGGTCACCAATAAAATAGTTAAACTTTCAATTATTTTCAATCCTGAAGCCAAACAGAAGTCATTTCTGCTCATCTCCAAAACACCACAATGAATCCACCTTTGTACTTGAGTACAGCCTCTAACTGAGGCTGCATGGCATCTTTTGTGGATGTTCACAAGAAATCACATTGTGCTGCAGCTACGTATCTTTCAATAAAAGAACTTCTACTAGACAAGAACAGGGACTGGGCCTGTGACGAGACAAGACCTATAGCTGGCAATAAAACCAGACAGACTTGTGAGTCTGTACACCAGCTACAGAGCTGGCCTGAACTCTGCACATCTGTTAGCAGTTAAGAGAAGACACGAGGTTTCATGAGATCCTGGCTTCAGTTACTGGATCCTCACGTGTCATATGGGAATGCAGACATAACGTGGATGTGCTGCTCTCCCAGCTGCTTCTTCACCTTAGAGCCATGAGATGACTGGAGGAGCCAGTTTTTTTTTCTGCCTTGTGTCTGTTGTTTAACCCTTTCTGCATTCCTCCTATAATATCCCCTGAACTGCTGTGATGTCCCTTCAGATAGGCTCTAAGGCATTTTCCTATCAGGAAAAGCCCTGGATATATTCTACAGGTAAATGTCACTGTGAGCCACTGCTCTAAGTTTAGCAATAAATAAGAGTTTCCATAGCCACATGGCATGGCACTGAAGTCACTGCAGCCTTCTTCCCCATTTCACTGTACTGAAATCCGAGTCCACCCATGGCTCCTCATCCCTCACCATCTGCTCAATATACAAAATACAGTGAAGGCTACAAACAGATACGCAGTTCCTAACAAACTCTGCTATCAGCTGAACTAAGGCCGGCCAGGGGAACTGGGCAAGAGGACTAGAAAGATGGATGAGGAAACATTGAGACACAACTGAACATTACACATGCAGCAGTAGCTGCTTGGATGTACAGCAGTGAGTGGCCTAAGCAGACCGCAGACCAAATTCCAAAAGGAAAGGAAAGACAGCACAGTCAGCTCATGAAAAGATGATGTTAAGTTGTAAGCAAAAAGAAGATTGAAGCAAAACTTTATAGCTACCAAAGAGAAGGCTTTTCACACAAGATAAAAGTAAACGTAG